ACAGCTTCTGAAGGCAACTTCTGGTCCATGGGTTGATTGTTCTCACTGCCCAAAACTCCTCATTTCCAGGTTGAATCTCTCCTTGGTCAGTTTCTATCCATTATTCCTTGTTTGATCTTCAAGTGCTTTGGAGAATAGGTTGAGCTCCTCCTCTCTCTGGCAGCTTCTCAAATATTGGAAGACTGCTCTCCTGTCTCCCCTGGTCCTTCTCTTCACTAGACTAGCCAAGCCCAGGTCCTGCAACCGTTCTTCCTATGTTTTAGCCTTCAGTCCCCTCATCATCCTGGTTGCTCTTCTCTGCACTCTTTCTAGAGTCTCAACCTCTTTTTTATAGTGTGGTGACCAAAACTGGATACAGTACTCAGTTACTATGGCTTTATAGAGTGGTATTAGTACCTTCCTTGATCTCGATTGAATCCCTCTGTTAATGCAACTTAGGATTGCATTGCCTATTTTGGCTGCCACCACACACTGCTGGCTCATATTTAGCTGGTTGTCCACTAAGACTCCAAGATCCCCCTCACAGTCACTGCTATTAAGCTTGGTTTCACCCAGTCTATATGTGTACTTCTGGTTTTTCTTGGCCAAAGAACAAGGACTTTACTTTTCTTTAGTTGTGGGAGCTTCATCACTGGAAGCTTTCAATAAGAGAGTGGGCTGCCATCTGTTAGACATGGTGTAGGGCCTCCTGCTTGGGCAGGGGTTGGACTAGATGACCTACCAAGGTCCTTTGCAACTCTGTTCATCTAATGTAGCCAAAATCAGATATGACCCGCTGAACATTTGGCTTAGCAATGGAAATGCTGGAGTCCCGTTTTGGTCGTAAGTAGGGGCTTAACCTGTTAACCATCGCATAGATTTTTCTGGTCTGGGTTGAGCAGGATTGTCAAACTACTCGTTAGTTACACAACTGAGGTTTGTTGCTCGAACCAGCCAGGCCTGATCTGAGGACTATCTCTTGGCTTAGTAAGGAGGTGAAATTCAGGTTCCCGTCGGGTTTCAAAATGTGCCACCAAGCCAGAAGGACCAGTTTGGGGGCTGGATCTCCTCGAGGGATCCCACCTGCCACCGAAAATCTAATAATTTACCAGGATCTTCAGTGACCTCCTGGGTGCAGGTTCTCCTTCCTTATTGGGTTGGTGGGCTTTTTAAAAGACAAGGGGAGGCCGTGGGGGCTTCCCCTTCGTCTTCCCAGACTCGGTTTGGGGTTGTGTAAACCTCTGGCCTTTGTCCAATTCATCTGGGTTGCATTACCTGTCGGGGTAGTCGGCAGGAAGAAGCGATGATGCAATATATGCCTTGCAGGTAGGAGGCAGCATGGATGGTTTGGGGACCTTTGGATGATCTGATCTGATGCAGTATTTACTTCCTTGATCCCTTGGTGATGTTCTGACCCAGCCTTAGCAGAAGGAAGAAACAGACTCCTGGTCACGAAAAAACCCTCTTTATTTTACCTCTTGTGAATTAATGGCATTCACACACCGAAAAGTCCAGGCAATAGTCCTGCAAGGAGTTAACTGCAGTAACAGACCTTATCAGTTTTTAGCGATAATCCCAGCCAAAAGGCTGCAAATTAAGTTCTGACAAGCAGTCTTTGTTGCACAAAACACAATGAACAAAATCTTCAGAAATATGAACTGTTGTCTCCTACGACTACCACTTCCCCTTCCTTCTATTTATTCCCCAGCCAGGGAGGGGTCATTCAGTGTCCATGTGTGCTTTGTTTCCCGAGTGGGCTGCTTTTCCTCCTGTTGTTCACCTCTCCAAACTGCTCTGCCCATGCACGCATCTGGAACAGGCCCCAGCTGTTCTTCCTCCCCACTTATCTCAGCCTCCAATGGCAGCTGCCTGTCCGGTGGCTGGGAAATGTCGGACTGCCCTGGCTCTATCTCCGTGTCTTAATTCAGAGCGTCCATCAGAACCTTCCCCAGACTCCAGAACTGGCCCAAGTTCCTCCCCAACCTCCTCATTGTTGCCACCTCCGCTTGCAGCTGGCGGGCCACAACAAGTGACTTAAGATCCATCCTTCATCCCTTCCTCTTCCGTTTTTGCAACTGTTCCAGGTTACCTGCCCAATGGGATACATGCTGTGGAGGCCATGCTGGCTGCTGCCAGCATCGGAGCCATCTGGAGTGCGACGTCCCCGGATTTTGGCATCAACGTGAGTGACCCTCACTTATCTCTTTGTTCCCAAATCCCCATTCTACATTTGCAGCCTCTAACGAAGGGTGAATTCCTTTGGACAAAGCAGTGCTGGTAGTCCTTGACTTACGACCGTTCCTTTAACGACCGTTTGAAGTAACAATGATGCTGGAAAAAGTGGTTCCACCACAAATCCGCGAAGCCCTTATCCGCGGAGACATAAGCGCGAAGACTAATTTGCGCCGTTCTAANCAGCTGGAGCATCGCACAGACGCTAGTACGGATGCGTGCGCTGCACGCATGCGCGAGGACGCCGCCGGCCTCGTTCCAACCGAACCGGTTGGAACGGGGCGAGAAACCCACCCCTGGGAAGGGGACAATACATATCAAATGAATTGTGTCAGAACTCTCAACAAATGACTTCGGGCTGTGCTGGGGGTCCCAAGTCAGCAGCTACCCCATACGAACTCCAATAGTTCTCACTTTCCTAATCTCGGTGCCCTCCAGAAGTATGATCTTCAGTCCTGACAATACCGGCACGGTTATTGTTGAGAATTTTGGAGAATTTTAGTCTACATGTTTGGAGGGCATTTGGATTGATGAAGGCTGAGCTGCCCTGAAATGAATGGGAGAAATAGAAGAGCACATAGAACGACACCCAATATGAATGGAAGGCATTTCCCTCTTCATATACTTGGGTCGGGACTGGAAGAAAGAGGTAACCACCTCGGATGGCAAAGGCAGCCAGGTGGAGCTTGGAGGAAGATGTTAGACAACCGAGCTCTGTACTTCACAGCTCGCCCTGAACCCAGTAAGCCACCTCGATGCTTCCTGGTGTGGTGGGACATGTTTGCTTCTTGTCTGTATTGAAGGAAGATTCAACTTTTAGTTGGTCACTGTGTGTGGAATTAAGGAAGAAACCATCTTATCCTTTGCTTCATACAGTAAATTACCTTGGACACCGACCTAAATGTGGTTGTTGGGATCACTAAAAATGTGTCTCCACTTTCAGTTCCTGTCCTAACAGACAAGGAGGCTATACATGTCTTTAAAAATAAATAAAAGATCCCTTCCCACCCCAAAGGCAAGGCCACCCAGCTCATTCCCAACTAATACCGGTAGAACAATCTGTTACAAATCATAAATGGAGTTATGCTAAGCCAAAAGCCAAGACCTGAGGGGATAAAACATTCAACCATGTCAACACACAAACCACAACTATTATCATGGCAAGGCTTGTGGACTGTACCTGCTGTGGAGCGAAGTCCATCTAGCTGTGAAGACTCTGGGTAACCAAAACAGTTGGGGAGTCTTCATGCGAACATATCTAGGGGGAGGGGGTGTTTAAACAAGTTCACTGATCCAGTTTTGTTTGATGCTGGACATATAAACTGACAATTGTACTTCCTGACCACAGTGGGAAAACAAGGCATATAAATAAAAAGGGTAAAGGGTCTTCACTATGAGTTTAATGTTTGTATGTTTAAATCAGTGGTGGGTTTCAAAANTCTTCAGAGGAAAGATGAGGCCAAAAGCAGAAACTGCTTCTCGCATTTTGCAGCTTGTGGAAACCTGCAACTGCGTGAATGCTTGGATCAAAAGACGGCTTCCTATTTCATTGTCTCTTAGCTCCACTTTCCCCGTTGCTCTTATTAAATCAGTGAAAGGCTAATTATGACTTCTCAATACACTGAGATATGTTTTAGAAAAGGGAAATGGACACACAAAATCTTTCCTCTGAAGAAAGCTTTGTACATATCACCCCAAACCCAATTTAGGTTCCTTGAAACATTAAATTAATTTCATTCCTGAAAAAATAATCCCAGAAGAGTCAGGTATTCTGTTTTACCTTTATTGTTGTTATTAGATTTTCCTTTGTGCACCATCCTCACACAAAGGAATCCCACTATTTGCATCGTAGCCCCATCATATGCATCATGCTCAGAGAATGACGTCATGTTAAGTCGCTTGTTTTAAGCACTTCCCATCAAAATGTCTCCAGGGCAATCATGAAAGTTCACCCCCTGGCTCAGGATGTCTCGACCTTGACAACTTCAAGATGGCTGGACCTCATCTTCCAGAATCCCCCAGCCAGCATAGATTAAGGACTGGAGAATTCTGGGATTGAATTTCACCCATTTTAAAGATGTCAAGACAGAGAAATACTGCTCTACATAGAAGCCAGCACTACCAAAGTAGTGTGTATGTGTTTGTGTGTGCGTGTTTGTGTGCAGGAAACTCATTCTTGTTCTTTCTCAATACCTTCAGCACCTCTAGAGATGGAAGGTTCAGAAACGGAGACTTTTCTTGGACCTAATGAAGTTGAAGGAGCAAAATGGGGGCATAAGCAGAGGTTTGAGGCAGCTGTTTCAACCCCTCCGAAAGACCCTCAAAGCTTTTAGACTGCAACGGAAATTGTGTACTGTGCCACCAACTCCCATTTACTTCCATTTTTCTTAAGTTTAGCTGTCTGGGGAATTCTGGGAGTTGAGGTCCAGACATCTTCAAGTTGCCAAGGTTGAGAAACACTGGTTTACACAGATTCCTCCCTGAAATCGGCTTTCCAATCTCTCCTAAACTTTCTTCCCTGATGAAGGAGACTTCGGTTTTTCTACTGATTGTTAAGAGGCTTTTGAGCGTCTCCTTGCAGGGTTTCCCAGCTCAATTTCTTCCCTGCACCTTCCTGCTCAGTTTCACGTGGAGTAAGTAAACACACTACAAGTCATCCCTGTTCAGAAGCCATCTGATTTGAGAGGGAATACTACAAGAAGAACCAAAAATGCATCACGGGAACAATAAAGATCAATGTGATATAGGAAACAACTGCAATAGAGAGGAATGATAGAGCTGCATGGAAGGTAGACATAACACCTGTGACATCTTCCCCTTTTCAGGTTAACCAAACAACTTTGTGAAATTTCAGATGAGAACCAGCACCAACACATCCTACAGGTTAAGTCTCTGCCCTCTGCCAGTGAAAAGGGGGCATGTGTGGCCACATACCCCCCATCCCCAAGCTCCATTTTCACTGGTCCTTTGCTGTTTCAGGCTGCCCCCCCCCGCCAAGGTCTAAACACCCCATGGGCTGGATCCAGCCTGTGAGCCTTGAGTTTGACCCCCCAGTTCTAATGGTAGTTCCAGCAGGCAAGTCAGGGAGAAGTTAAATTTCGCAGAAGTCTGAATAAAGTTCCACTAATATCAGGTCCGCTTTTCCTGCTGTTGGAAGAAATGTCCATCAGGGTTCAGTTGCAAGTGGGGAAAAAGAGACTGGAAACATGGAGGCCACTGGGAAAGATGGTTTTTAATGGTGGACAGGACCACCTGCCCTGATGATGTTGGGTGAAGAAGGAAAAAGGGAAGAGAGTCTGAGGCTGCCTGAGTTTTATACCCTCTCTGGGCCTTTGAATCTGAGCTTGCATTCCGATTGGTTGTCAGGCTCTCATGGGGCCATGCAGGGGCAACTCTCTAGGCTGTCCTGAGTCCCAAGCTAGGCGGGGTTGTAATGGAAGGGCTTTGCGCAATTCCTACTTTGACTCTGCCTGAAGGAGGTAGATGTTTGTTATGTAGAATAGACTGGCTCAGGTTTTAATGGTCCATTGACAAAAAGGGGGGGGGGGATGAGTTGCTGCTTTGTCTTTAAAACATGTTTCTCCTTTTCTCATCCAGGGAAATATAATATTCTGCCTTCTTAATAGTTCCTAAAATGTTTCATATTTTTTTCTAGGAGAGGGGTGGATGCTAACTTCCTACCATGCATGGTTGAACAAATCTATACTGATGAACTGCCAAGGACCTGACAGTGTCTCATGGTTTCTTTTTGTTGCAAACTTGCACATTCATTGCAAGTGGGACAATTGCTACCAAAGTCTTTGATTTCCCCTTGCGTGTTAGGCCAGTAAAGATTGTCACGAGCTTCTCTGAAGCATGGCTCACCCCAGTGTGGCTTGAGTGTATGTGCAATAACATCTCTGCTCTCAGTGACTTTGGCACTATGACTCTTGGACTTTTGTACAGGAATCCATTTTGTACGCGGATCTCATCTCTGAAGGACAGATATTTCCTCACGATTGTAAGACCGTTTCATTTTGTCCTTCAAGTGCTCGGCTTCCAGGTATGCGTCAAATGCAGAGAGACAGTGCAGGTTCAGATCCTGTTTCTTCTGACACCACGTTTCATGTAGAGAAAGTAAAGGCAACACAAGCCATCACTGTGCAGAAGCCATCATGTTAGAGAGTCATACAAGAAGAACAGGAAATGTGTCACAGGAGCAATAAAGAAGAATCCTAGAGTGGCAATGCGATAGAGGAAACAGGTACAATAGAGATGAATAATAGAGCTGCACAGAAGGTAGACATAACACCTGAAATACTAGTCTGACCACGAGGGATCCAGATAAAACAAGAACAGAGAGTCTTCAAAGCACTTGGAGGGTTTTTGTTTTGGAAAAGCTGGGAATGTCAAAGAGCCCCCACCCCCAAGTGCCTCTACACCACCAGAGAAAGGGAGACCGGGTGTCCCCAAACCATCTTCTGGGGGGCCTGGCAAAAAATCAAGTTGCACCATCCATAATGCTGTGGGCTCCTCTACAAGCTTAGCTGCAAACCTAGCCCCAGATTCAGTTAATAAACTAAGAGACTTCAAAATATAAAGGATCTCAGTGTCTTGCATGAACACGGAATGACAACACGGAAAGCATTAAGGAAAAATAAAAACAACAATTTCTACCCATTCTATAACTTTCTCCCCATTGACCCAACGATACAGTCCAGAGGCTTTCACCTACCAGCCTCTTAGTCGGCTGTCATCCAGAAATTGACATTGCTAGAAAAGATGGGAAATGAAATTTCATGAGGCACAAACAGTGTTAAAATCAGCCCCAATTTAGGATTCATATATGGAGTTCTGGTATAAAGGAAAATCACCAATAGGCCCTGCTCTTAACATTAGGGCGGGTTGAAGGGTGTTGATTGCTTCCTTGGCATTAGAAGACAGGCAGCACTGAAGCTATGGGATATCCAC